ACGCGCAACAAGACAGTTAATAAGAAGAAGGAATCTCAATCACATTTACATTTAAAGTATTAAGTTTGAGTTAAAAACTGTGAACCGACAATTATGATGACAGGTTGTTTTAAGATCATTTTAATCGACCACAGCAAAATTACAACGAAACCAGTACAATTATTTAAAATTTATTATGTATCGGCTGTTCATGGTACGAATGTGACATCGTAATATTTTGTTTATTATATTTCATTCGGAAAAAATCTCTCTCGTTACGGTGGTGCAGATATAAATTTTAAGATATAATACCTCTTATGTAATTCAGGGCTCCCTTTAATAATCTTGCAACTTTGTATTGTTAGCACTTCGTACATATGAGTATAATAATTTTCTGCAAATTTACAGCATTTCAAAATCAATAAGTACAATATCAATAGAACAGGACAGTTTCTGTTTCAAGCCGTAAAGTTCTGCCTTATTCGGATTTTGTAAAATGATTATCATTCGTAAGTATTTCCAGAAACAGGAAAACACTTAATTTATGACTACCTCGTAAAATTGACTGTACTCAGTACCCTGGTAGTATGATCTTTCATTGATTCTCTCTCAGTTAAAGTTTAAGTTTTCTATTAAAGTTAGAGTACAGCAGGTTTTGTTCGATTGGATTTTTGAGGAGGTAGTGTAATGTGCACATTAAAACGACTACAGTAAAAAATAGTACTATAGTGTTTCTGTTGAAAATTGCGTGACAACGAGAGGATGCGGTACGTACGTTTTTATGTCACATCAGACATCTTCGCAAATGGATGGACTCTACTTAACCTAAATAACATGAGGTGAGGTTGAAGTAATTTTATTGAATTGATAGTGAGGTCCATTTTTATTTATTTTTATTTTACTGATAATATTACTCAAATTTAAAAATACTAATTATTTCTTATGAATATGTACCTATATACAGGGTGTCCCTTGGGTTAGTCACACGCAGGAAAAGTATATTAAATATTGAAATAGGATATTTTACTGAAAGAAGTCATCATTTTAGTTTTAATAATAAGTAGAACAGCATTCACAGTTTTTGAAAAATCGCCTGCCAAAACCGGGATTCAAACTCGTGAATGTGAAACAAAAAAACATGTGTTCCTATTTTATGATAACCGTCGAAAGGGTAAATCATGAGGATTATTTTTTCCTATTTATCAAATCATTGTAAATGAAAGAAAAATCACCAAATTTGACGTTTTTTTTAATATTGGAACACAAATTCCAATAAAAAAAGAAACGTTTCTAGGTTTGCTTTATTTTTTAAATGCACTTATAGTAAGGAAATCCCGTTTAATTAAGCGAGTAGGTACTAGTTAGTAAATAAAGCACGGAAAAACAAGAGGAAATAGTCCTGAACAAAATTTTAATTTCAAGATCTTCCTTTTATTTAAAATGCTGTGTTATTTAAGAAAAAATAATCCTTATGACCTATCCTTATAACCTTTCGATGGTTATCATAAAATACGTCATATATATTTTTTTCGAATTTCACGAGTTTGATTCCCAGTTGTAGCACGCGATTTTAAAAATATCTGTGAATGCAGTAGTTATTATTAAAAATAAAATGATGTCTTCTTTCAGTAAAATATCCTATTTCAATATTTAATATACTTTCCCTCCGTGTGACAAACCCGCGGGACACCCTGTATACTTTGAATTAAAAAAATTACAACAAATTTGACGCTATTGTAAAGGTACGTTGTGTAGCTGTGAGGTAATTCCAATAATTAAAAAAAAACATTGCTGAAGTATATCATTCTCATACAACTGGTTTTTAGAGATCCACTCGCAATGCTACCGACCACAGCGGCGAGCTTTGGTTACATAATCACAGACAACCTAAAAGGGGATACATACAAGAAGTATTGTCTTTGGCCATACTTAACGCAAAGTTTACGTATGGTTAGTTAGTTAGTTTTTCAGGGCGGTTTCCGCACTTAGTCCTAATTATGGGACCATTGTGCGTGTTCCAAAACATTCCCGTTTACTCCAGCCAGCCTAAATTAGTCCAGCAGGAAAGCAGCCTTGGTAGACTGCTGCAAGCTTCCGGAAGTGATTCTGGCGACTGGAGAAGTCGTGCCCGTTGTTTGGTTGGCCCATGTTTACGTATAGCGGAGTAACGGACTCAGAACAAAAACTGGCCTTTATTGATGTGTAACATCTTTCCTCTCGCTTTCGTACAATTTATGGGAGAGATTACGTGAAGTGGGACGGAAGTGTGTAACAGGAAGTTTGGTCTATTTGATTTGTTCAAATGGCTTATTGCTTTTGTAGTAGGTTTTATTTCTTTTTTTTACTAATATTAGCTGAGGTTTCAAATGTTACACATCATACGCGACTACTGTAAGGCTCGCTCGTTTTTACATTGTTCTGAGGTAGAGGATCCTCCTGGCACAATTATCTGTCTAAAATATTGACAAGTAGTTGCTCGAGTGACTTATAACCAAATTATAGGGTCAAGTGAGGGACTGTGTAACAAGGGTCACAGTGCAACATAAGGAATATATCTCTGCCTCTCGATGTGTTTTCATTAGTTTCATATGCGACCATCATAAGTAGCTGTCATCAGACGTCAAATAGCCGTGTAAAATACAGAGATATTTCTTTTGTTACACAGTCTCCCACTTGACAATTATTTCTATAACAATATGTAGAAAGCGACCTCACTAGTATTGTAATCAACTTGATCACCTGAACTTAACTTAATTGAAATATTAACTGACGGTTAGTTACCCAACTTTTCAAGACACAGTAACTATAAAAATTGGACTTTGCTTGTAACATAAATTTAGATCGTGTTAAAAAAATGGAAATCGTATACGATTGACAATTACCTACTTTTAACGAGAGAAAAAAATCGAAAGACGAAAGAAAGTAAAATAGATAGAGAGAGAAACTTATATTAATGATACCTAAGAGCGTACAAGACCGCTTCGAAAACTGTTTTAGGTTTGAGGTTCTAGACAATGGGCCAGCAAAAGCAGCTTATCATAATTGTTTTAGGGCAAACCCACAAAGTAATTCTTATTGAAATAAACTCCACAACATTGATAGAAGAAATAGTAATCAAACAATATATATATAGCTTGTTGAGCCATTACATTGTCAATACATGTTATTAAGAATGCCGTATTTTATAGTTCATATAAAAGCAATCTGATATTATAGTTATCGTAAAGAAAGTTTCATCACTAACTTTCGAACTTTAATTAATCTTAAAGTTTATTGACATCCATTGAGTGTTGCATCTTTATTGCTTTGTCAAATGGTTTAAAATCGTGTATTTTTTTAACTATGTAGAAATGGTAATGGCTCAAGAATCTTATTACTGGTATTTTTTATATTCTTCTAGTTATGGTTAGTCATAAAAACTCATGTTAATTATAACACTTTCCGTGTTTGCATGCAGATTGAACTCATTTTCACGTAGTCAGAATTGTATGTGTTCTTAAATGTTTTTTTCATCCTAATAAAATATTTGATTTCTTATAATGATGTATAGGAAACTGTGATCCCTAATTTAAAAAATAAAATAAATTATCATATTTGTTATAGAAACTGAAAGACATGGAATTTATTTGCCCATATTAAGTATGATAATGATGAATCAACGACATCAGCATGTATTTTTGCTATCGCCCTAAAAATGGAGGACATAAATATACCCCTCCCTACCTCTGTTCTCAAATATTTAGATATCATACAAAAAAAAAATCAAAGAATTGTTATGACCACACATATTTATTTGTTTAATCAATAAAGAAATAAAAAAAGGTATTTAATAACATGTTAACAAATCCCATATTATTAATCAAACAAGGTGCTTTTGCACTTAATCTTAATCAATAATTGTTAAGAAAGATTTACTACCTAACTCAGTAATGTCTTCTCTTCAATGCTTGCAATAATTCACACTTAATCCTGAAGGATCAAGAAAGTCGACAACAATGAAAAACATCACGCTATAACTTATAAGAGCGAAGTATCACTTGTAGCATGATGTTACATAGCATAAAGCCTTCCTCGATGAAAACCAACACAAAAATAATTTTCTAATCAAACCAGTAGTATCAAAAACGATGCAAAGACTTATTACGTGTGACGAAATTGATTTTTGTTTTAACAGTTCTAATAAAAATCCACGGTGATATATGGTTATCTGTTAAGGTTGTTTCACTATAATCCTTTTCCTCAAATCAACGCAGGCAAAACCGCAGCGCATAGCATTGTTATACTTGAACATTGCTATGCATACGTATGTGTTCCGGAAACTCTTAAGTCATCACAATGATGAACAGCTATTCCGAGACTCCTCTAAGTTTTATTATTGTTCTTCATGGACACTCTAGAGCTTCTGTTGGGTCAGGGTTTCGCAGTAGTGTGAAATGATCATTTTTCCTCTTATGAAGTAGGTATGTTTTTCTGTAATCGGTATTCATACATTCATTCGTGATACTTTTGTAACATACATAAAATAATAACTTACTTACTAGTATTATGGCTAGTGAATCTGTCCTCTTTAAGTACCTAATATTATCCGCGTTTAGTATAATTTGCATTTTATATTTTATGCTCAAGGCAATAGGATTTTTTATTTTATTCATAAACTTGATTCAAGATGAAACGAGATGACTACAAGATGACGAAATATCCTTTATTTTCCTCTACCTAGACTTATTGCTGGCGTGCTGTCAAATTTCAACTGTTTTTAAAGTGTCATAATTAAAGAATCTTATGTGAATTTCAAAAAAATATTCTTAAATAATTTCACTACTTTATTGCTGTGGGAAAAAAGGAGTTATACGTTGATTGAATAAGGTTTTAATTCGATTGCAGCTTGAATTGCTTTAGCGGTATGGTGCTGCAGCTCAATAAGGGACTCCCCACACTGTCCTTTGTCGAGCGCATCATAAAATACTCAAGAATCTGCAACGATGCGTAATAGCGACAAAATTTTTCGTATAAATACGAAGGGTGGATCTGAAGAGAATCAGAACTTAGTGCGCTTTCATAAGCTTTTTGTAACTGCTGTGTATTCAAAATGAAATTTCTAGTAAGTTAATACCAACAATTTTATTAATAAATCGTAAAGTTCGTGATTTTTTTTTAACGAAATAAGTTTATCCACTTAAGGGTTGCGATAGTATACAGTGTAGTTTGATTCCTACAAGTGCTAAACTTATAAACTCAAAGATTGATAAAATGATGAATTGTTTAACTAATAGATAACTTCTTGTCAAACGTTCATTGGATAATAAGCGATTTATATTCGTAACTTGGTGTTCACGATTCGTTCACATGATTTTTGGTATTATAATTAGCACTTTATAGTGGTGTACTACAAATTTAAAATCAGAACAGGTACAATAGTGTGTCTAAGAGCTAAAACTGGTATTCCGTGTACATTAATGGTTTTCACAACTGACACTTAAAAATATTATTAACTATTATTGAAACAAATTGTACAAATCTTTCTAAAAATATCATATTTAAGTGGCAGGAATTAGGCTGGCAATCTGTCATTATAATTATGTCCTCCCGTGTCCCAGACATCAGAGGCTCAACCGATGCAAAATGTTGCGTCGTTCAGGGTCGTATTTTAAAATCAGGCGACCCGAGGTAAATCACTTAACTGAGACCTCGCCTGCGGGGTACAGGGTGTGGGGACGGACGAAAAGGGGACATTGAGAGTTGCCGGCACATTATTGTCAAAATTACAAATTACGAGAACGGGTACCCGTTTTCATCCGTCCCCACACCCTGTACCCTGCAGGCGAGGTCTCAGTTAAGCGGTCTACCTATAGTTATCCTTCAAAAGCTTTTTTTTTCTTAGCTTTAAATTTTTCTTTGATTTAATGCAATATGTACGTAAGTTCCACCGTGCTTCGGAAGGCACGTTGAGCCTTTGGTACCGGCTACATCTGCAGTCGTTATCACCCACCAAACCGCACTGGGCCCGCGTGCTGGGTCACGGCCTAATCTCCCTATTCCATGCATGGAAGGCCTGTACCCCAACAGTGTGGATTAATCATAGGCTGATGATGATGATGTACGCTACCTAGGATATTACGTGTTCCAGTTGGCTTTAATGGTGGTTGTGGGTGCAACATCTGCCGATGTGAACAGCTTCCAGCAGTACCAGGTCCGAGAACAGCAGCAACAGTACACCACCGAGCCCATACCCATCATAAGACAGGAGCAGGTCATTAACCCCGACGGATCTTATAAGTGGAGGTAACTGATATTTTGTAATGGATATATTTAGCCATCTGCTTCCATTTTTCATAATATTTTCGTGACCATTCCAATATGGTATGCTAATACTGTCATGAATTATAAATAAATTTCATCATATTGAGTGAATAATAATAACAAGTTGCAGAGTTAATAAATTGGAATTTCTAATTAGACCTCATGATAAAATGAAGCGTGAAACATGCTTCTGTGACTATTACCTACGACTCTGCTGAAAATCTTGTTCAACTTCTTTCTTTGAGTAATTTCTTGCAAGGTAAAATGACATTAAAAACAATGTCTTTTTATCAATTATATAAATTAAACCACGAATGATGTCACCACATTTTTTTATAAAAACCATATTTTCAATACGGTTTTAGTTAACGATTTGTTTTTAAAGAATACCGCTGCAAGAATATCAATATAAATTATTCAGTCCAATCGTAAATATGAAAATTATGAGTTATTCATTAGGTAAAAAAGCTGATTCATTTCCACATCCAGTATCCGTTCAGATAGTCAATGGTTTTACGTACATTTCGGCCATCATTCTCAATAATATAAAATAAGCTCTCCATTTGTATTCGATGCTCAGTTTGATTATCATTAATGTTATAATTAATACTAAAAAACAAGCAGTGGAATAAAACAGACGGCATTTTTGTGCAATAACCGACTACAGACTATAATTTTTGTTTTTGCAAGCTTTACAATGACATTAAAACATTATTCTCTTATATGGAAATTATGTTAATTCCTCGTAATATTTTTAGTGACTTGCATTGATGATCCGAAGCGCCGACTGTAGGTCACGGATGCGCTCAAAATGTAGGTTCTTTTGAGTTGCAAACTCATCTTCGATATACTCGTATGCTGGAATTTGGTCAAATGATATTATTTCCCATTCATGAACGAACTCAAAAAAAAGTAGTACCTATACATTTTTCATATCATTCTTGTCCTAGGAATTTGATTTTAGTCTTTTTATTGAAATGTAATAAAAAATATTTAAAGTATTCGACCTACCGAATTGATTTAAAAAAATATTGACCCTGACACAGCATTCAGTGATTTGTTCATCCTGAGTACCTACCTACACTCTTAGTTTTTTTTTTACTCAAGGCGCAGCAAATCAAGCACCTGATATTAAACGGAGTCCAGTCGCAAAAATAGTTGATGTGAAAAAAATATTACATCCATTAAGCCATTTTTACTTTGTCTAACTGAACCCAATCCCATAGCCGTGGAAACTTGGAAAAATGGTAATATAAAATTTTGATAAATATTTTTTTAGGGTAACTGGATGTAACCTGGAGATGATTTTATTTTTTCAACTTCTACCCCATCATATGGGGTGTCCTTGAATAAGTCCTTTAAAATAACTAAGGGGTTTCTCAGACAATTTTTCGATTTAGGCATCCGTTTGCGAAATTTTGAACGTTAAAGTGCTAATTTGACTATTGTTTTTAATAATTTTAAAGACTAGGCTAGGTTGTAGTAATTTTTCTCGCCATTTTATATAAAAAGTCTTTATATAATCTTGATTGACCTCTTGATGAACTTGATGAAATATATTTTTTACTTATTATCAAATACAAAAAAAATATATTTATATAACTACTAAATCCTCAGAAAAAGAATACAAATTCCAATCTAAAGGTTAGGTTGGCAATTGCCAATAGCATAATTATGCTATGTTGTTTTTGCTACGTATTCAGTAGGTTGCGGATCATTTAAATTGTAGTCGAACAAAAATAATATTTTTGGTAAGAAAATAATTGGGAAAGCTTTATTTAACTACCATTAAATGTTTTCAATTCAAATGTATTATGTATTGTTTTTGTAACACAAACAGAACTAGATAGACAACTTAATGTTTACTCACAGCAAAGTAACAGTCTTAGTAAATCACGCGTTGACGTCTTTTGTAGGCGCATTGTACATAAGTTAACTTTGTGAAAGACCTACAATCAGTGCAAATAATTGATATATTAAAACATTTTACATAATCAAAGCAGAATAAAGCTTAAAACAATAAATCAAAATCGTAGTAGAGTTCAACTGCCTTAGGTTTAATGAGAAGAAAAAAAGATTTATAGTGAAACCTTGCAAACAATAATAAAAGAATCGTTACAAAGTAACACTTACAAATAACATTTCGTAGACAAAATTATTTTATTTATTTTCTTTGTTCAGGGTTAACAAGTTTCATACAATTATAGACCAGTTTTAAATTTAATGTTTCCAGTATCTACGACTAGTCAATACATTTATATTTAATGCTGACTAACAAAACTAATGTAATAATAATAAATTATAAATTTATTTATTTGCCCCAACATGATAATAGTGTTTTTAGTGACGGAAGCCTACTGAAACTTCCATATATTTCATCCACGACATTTTTCCAGTTATGAGACTGGCAATGGGATCGCAGCCGAAGAACAGGGCTACGTGAAGAACCAGGGCGTGCCAGAACAGGAGGCGCAGACTGCACAGGGACAGTATCAGTACACTGCTCCTGACGGACAGGTAACTAATAAATGGATAAATATTTCTAACACTCACACCAATCAGCCTAGTCCCAAAGTTAGCACTTTGGGCTTGAGTTGTGGGATACTAGGGTAATGAATAGAATACACGAACTGATCAGGGCTGCCAGTATATTATTCTGGAATACACGAGAGAAGGCAATTTAAACACTGCTAATTTTATATATATATATATATATATATATATATATATAAAATCTACATACATATAAAATCTATAAAATAAAATAAATAAAATTCATTTATTTCGAGCAACATAACTCATAATAATAATACATAATCAATTGCTATAGAAATAGGTACTAACGCTTTTATTCATCATACAAACATTTGCTCCACTCATTTCAAACCCAGGACCTGGGGCCTCTGTGTAGGCGACACCTTGAAACCCGGCGTACATACCACTCGCACCACGGAGATCTTCTAATGAATATTTTTGTAACAAAAGCCTTATCTTTTATTCATCATCATCATCATCAGCCTATTAATGTCCCCACTGCTGGGTCACAGGCCTTCCCTATGGATGGAATAGGGAGATTGGGCCATGACCCACCACGCGGGCCCAGTGCGGGTTGGTGGGTGCTAACGACTGCAGATGCAGCCGGGACCAACGGCTTAACGTGCCTTCCGAAGCACGGAGGAGTTCGAGATAGTAATTTTTTCGGTCACCCATCCAATGACCGACCACTGCGAAAGTTGCTTAAATTCAACGATCGCAGCGGAACGCGCTAACCACTTGCGCCATCGAGCGCCTCTATCTCTCTATCTTTTATTGTTCATACATAAATATGTTTACACGAATGCCCCAAAATGGTTGTGCTCGTATAAAGAAGGTATATATAAAAAAAAATAACATCGATTGATAAAACATACAGTTTCTGTAAATGATGCGTGTTGCTTAGACTTTTTCTAACGTGTGTAAAGGAACATAACTATACGAACAACATCGTATACGACAACATTAAAAACAATGTGACTTTGGGAGCATCGTGAAATTTCGTTGGTGCCCATCTGTCAACCAGAGAGCCTTGAAAGCTTTACTAGAAATGGATATCGCACAATGACCTAGTCAGCAACCAGGTCAGCAAGAAATATAAATAATGCCTCATCAGCACGTTTTACTATTGTCGGACTTAGGGCCTGTTTCAAAATGGCTGAATAAAGTTCTTAGTAAGCTCTCCTGCTCAGTAGAGAATAGGGATGTTTACTATTTTTGGAAAAACGTTTAAAAGTAAGCAAATATGGGCGTATTTGCTTACATTTAAATGCTAAACCGAGGAGCTCGATGGCGCAAGTGGTTAGCGCGTTCGGCTGCGATCGTTGAAGTTAAGCAACTTTCGCAGTGGTCGTTCATTGGATGGGTGACCAAAAATTTACTATCTCGAGTTCCTCCGTGCTTCGGAAGGCATGTTAAGCCATTGGTCCCGGCTGTATCTGCAGTCGTTAGCCTATCCGCACTAGGCCCACGTGGTGGGTCTTGGCCCAATCTCCCTATTCCATCCATAGCGAAGGCCTGTGCCCCAGCAGTGGGGACATTAATAGGCTGATGATGATGATGATGTAATGCTAAACTTATTGTCAAAGTCAACATCCCTATTTTATTACTGATTCTAAGTATTTTATTAAGAGCATAACTCAGCGATTGCTATACATGCCCTTGGTTAAATATATGGTCTATAGACCAGTTACTAGTCTCAAGTTCTTGTTCATCATTTGTTTATAAAATACTTGAGGTGCCCTGCGGTTTCACCCACATTAATTTGAGGAAAAAGGTTATAGTGGGTCAACCCTAAAATAAATACACAAATGCTTTTTTATATTATTTTTGATGGGGATCAATTCCATCATACATTATTTTTGTGTAACTTTTACCGTTTACGCAGCGTACGCAATGAAAGCTCACAAATGGAATATTTTTCCCATTTTTGCAAGTCGTAGCATTATGTTATATAGCCTTCCTCGATACATTCGATATCCAACACATAAAGATTTTCTTAATCAGATTAGTTCCTGAGATTAGCGCCTTCATCCAAACAAACAAACTCTTCAGCTATATAAGATTATGTAATAGATAATAAAATTAATTATCATAATCATATCATAGTGGCACTAGTGAAATAAAGATTAAGAGGTATTTAATAGGCTGGTATTGTACGGAGTGTGATGAGCATGAAATCTATATGGAAGACCAAAAAAATGGAATGACTGTGTGAAGATGATATTTTTTTATGTTAATAGGTGGTAAAAAGCATAGGTCCCACTTGATGGTCAGCGCCCTATAGACGCTTGCGATACTAAAAATAACACGGTAAGCAAGCAAAGGCACAGTGCTTACCTTCACCACATCCGTGGAGCCCTGGAACCCTACTCACTGACAGAAACACAACAACACCAAAAGTGTAGTATTATTCTACTGTGACCCGTAAGGTTTATTCACCAGGCGGGCGTTCCCATTCAAGCGAAACAATTTCTATGCCCTACCGAGAGGTAGGCTCTTATAGACATGATAGAGAAAGGAGTGAATGTTGAGATGATAGATGATCATCATCATCATCATCATCAGCCTCTTAATGTCCCCCCTGCTGGAGCACAGGCCTTCCCTATGGATGGAATATCACAAAGAATAAATTAACATAATACCAATACCAAACATTTTCTGTATGGATAATGCCATGAGAAGAAAGACTATAATACACTAAGGGGGTCCAGTATTGATGTACGTACATACAACCAGCACTTAAACATAAATTATTTTCAGACCGAAGCATAAAATCATTATCTTTCATTCACCCATCCCGAGATTGGCCTTTACAAATATTGCTTAATCTCTGCAATCGCAGAACGAATGCGCACTGTCGAGCTCCACTGTCTATTTAAATATAGTAATAGTCGTTAGTTTATATATCGCACAACAGCTTCTGCAGACTGAAGGCTTAACGTTTCGTTTCATAAAAAAATCTTTAATTGGCACCATTAGTTTTCGCTCCTTCGCAATGGCAAGTAATTATTGATGAAGGATTAATATCACGTGTTGAAAGCATCATCATCTTTCATAACAGACTCCCACATGTCTCGGACCTAAATTTCGTCAGTATCCTAATATTATAAATGCTTATTTGTTACTCAATCACGCCCAAAACGATTTGGAAGGTACACCGGAAGATTTTAACCTAGATAAAAACAAACAACAAAGAATTCATTATGAGGCAATAATCTCGGACACCTGGAAAAGTTAGAAATTCCCTATACGACCATTTTTTTTATTTAAAATGAAATTTTTAATTTTGTGATAAAATCTCGGCTTCTATGTAGTTTACATTCTTGCAGTTTTCTTATTTTATTTAATATATATATTTTTGGCTTTAAGGTGATCCAGCTTCAATATTTGGCTGACGAGAATGGATTCCAACCACAGGGAGCTCACCTCCCCACCCCACCCCCGATACCTCCTGAAATCCAGAAGGCTCTGGAATATCTGGCCACTTTACCTCCCAGCAACGAGCGAGCTGATCACGATGCCAAAAACAAAGACTTCGGCGTGTTTTACAACAACCGTTCTTGAATCAATAATAGTAAATTCCGTACCTATTCAGTTTAAAGAGGCTCATTATTACTGTTGAACTGTGTGACAGAATGTGTAATAAATGTAATTATATTAAGGTAGACTACTTACCTAAATGTATAATTTAAGTTTTATAGATAATTAGGTGAGATATAGTGGGTATATATAGTCCATTTTTTATTACTGAACTTATGAAATACATACCAGTTATAGTCATATATGTTTTCTTTCATTTAATTTGATTTGTTCAATTTAATTCAAGAACTGTAACCTTAATATTTTGTGGCCTCCATGACCTAAAAACGGAGATATATAATTATATCATTATAGTATTTTGTTAACTAGCCACATAAATTGTATTAACTATCGTCGATCAGACAATAGCTGTCAAGTTAATTGCACTCGAGTATGTGAAAGTGTTGCCACATAAATGAAAAATATTTATACAGAAGTAAAATATATTTTTACAATTAAATATCCAGATTAAATAATAGCTATAAAAAAAGAGTTTTTTTTAAAACGAAGTCAAATCTAGGTCAAAAGTTATAATGTGGAAAACAAACCTGCACAATTAATCTAAGTATTCAATATACCCGTATTTTATATAACAGAATTACCTAGAATTAAGTATTATTACTAACGGTAGATCCGTTAGTAATAATATTTAATTCTAGGTAAGTTCCACCAATTTTTGTAAGCTGTCTTTACATTTTCAAGTTGAAAATTTCAACTTTTTACCCATTTTGTAAAAAGTCTATCAGAGGACTGTCTAATTCTGATGCTTATTGTAGATAATAGTCTAGTATATTTTAACTGTAACTGAAAAACCAACGCTTAAAAGGTATATCACAGTAGTGGAGTTCTTAAAAATCTGGTAGTTGAATGCAGAGGTTAAAAATAATATTAACTGCGAAAGATATCCTACTAAAATCATGTGGGTAATTAATACTCATACATATAAGTATTACTTACCCACGAGACTTTCAAAGATGGCGGTGGATATTGGGTGCAATATTTTTATAATGCATTGCAGCTTTTAAATTTCCTCTTTGTATAAAACTTGTAGAACAAGTATCTAAACGATTTTTGTTTTTTTCTTTTCCATTTATTCTAGAGTCCTGCCCTCTCGTGCCAATAATTTAGTTTAATTTTTAAATAATTGTTTGTTCATTTCATTTCTCGCAATTTATAAATTTAGACTTGCAACACAAACGTGTACATAATGTGCACAGAAGAGTCAACGAATCCTTACCCAGTCATGTGGTGTCAGTCGACCCCGCTTGCTTAACAACCAGTCGGTTCACTTTCACTGGGCCGTGTCAAGGTCGAGCGGCCATCGCATCTGCGTAAACTCCATGACTGCATTCGTTTACCATACATGAAATAAATCGATTGATTCAATGAGATTATTCTTTTGTCAATTTGTATTCGCAATGATATTACCAATAGCTAATGAGCTTTTGTTGAATTAAGTTGTAATTAAGTTTTTTTTACGATTTCTTTGTTCCATATAACTAAGGCCAATTTGTTATTATTTTATTTAGTACCTTTGTCTTTTAAATAGATAAATATTGTTTCATTGTATCCATTTAACATAAAAGCTTTTTGAGAAACGAAGAAAATATATATTATAGAAATGTAAAAGGTGTAACTCAGGTTATTTTTAAAGATGTTACGGTAAAAATAATAAAATTTGTAATTTGTACAAAGTGGGCTATTAAATTTCTTGGTTGTTTTGTATTTTTTATATTTATGCAACACGCGTACCGTAACATCGTGGGTTTTCATGCCTATTAATGTTTATCTTTCTTGTTTGAGTGCAAATAATACGCAATATTTTAATTAAATAATAATATGTCATGTGTGATATAAATATGTTAATTAACAGTACGTGAAACATCACGAACGTGTAACTAAATAGAAATACTGATATATTTCTATAGCTGAGTAAGGTTCCCGTTCTGTTCTGTTGTTCTTTCCCTAATATTATATAAATCAGTTAACTTTGGGAATATAAATATTTTCTAGGAAATAATAACGGCCGGAAATCTGTCTAAACTAAATATTTAAAAAAAACTTCTTATGTTGAAACTCTTGCTGACCAACACAAAGTGTTAAAGCGGTGGAGCGAATACTTTGGGGAAATATATGATTCTGCTCGGTGTGTTACTGTTAGTGATCCTGGGATAGGTCCGGCAGTGCCAGCAGTCGAAGAAGACATTTCTATGGATTTCGTATAATGATTGTTTGATTTAAGACATGTTGGATTGAATTTCCACTTGAATTGGAGTGTCTATTTGGGGAAGTGGACCTTCACTTTACAGAAGAGCACTGTAAATTAACAAACACTACGTGGGACACCACGAACCTGTGACTAACTAGAAACACTGCTATATTTCTATAACTGAGTAAGGTTCCCGGGGACCAAGGTTTAGGTACAAGTCATCAAGACGAGGATAGCTGCGAAGCAGAGGAGCTTCACCAATTACTTTAGTATTATGCTAAGCGTTTTAAAAAAAGAATGTTTTTTTTTAACAAAACGTGCCGTTGTAGGTGTGAGAACCAATATCGCCAGGTATCGAAACGTCAAGTGAAAATAATTTAAACATGCATACAATTTAGGAGTTAGTAAAAGGGAATAATAAATAGTTAAATGTTTTCTTTCAAAGCAAAACTCTGCCGGGTGATCGTGGTTGACTACAACCAGTCTATTTTGCAGTCCAACCAACATTTATTTTATTGTTTTAGATGTTTTGGGATCAGCTTTCAAATGTTTTTAGTTTAATGCTAATTTTAGTGACCTTTTCATAAAACATTCATATGAATGTCTGCTTTATCCGTTTGCTATATCATGGTAATATAGTTTAATAATAAGATGGATATATTTCTTTCGGTAGAATTCTCATGCATAAGGTGTAAGCACGCGTAAGCTCTATTTAGATTTAATCCGAAAAGAATTTCCATTTTCTGCATTTTCATTGGGTTGTTCCATATTCATCTACGATATCTCACCCTACTTCTTATGTTTTCCTTACTCAACCTATTTATGTTCCTTATCCTTATTCAACCCATAAATATTATTTCCTTTTTTTATTCCTTATTTATCACATCAGTATTCCTAGCTTAATCCAATGCAAAATCACGTAAAAATATAAAGTTTATGTGTACGGTCTGAAAAAATATTGTTTTTTAAAATATTATAAAGATCAGTTAATTTTGCGAACATAAATATTTTCTATGAAATAATAACGGCCGGAAATCTGTCTTAATCATATATTTAAAAAAAACTTCTTATATTGATACTCATGCTGACAAACACAAAGTGTTAAAGCGGTGGAGGGAATACTTTAGGGAAATGTATGATTGTGCTCGGTGTGTTACTGTTAGTGATCCTGGGATAGGTGCGCAAGTGCAGTCGACACGAAACCTGAAGAATGGAAAAGCAATAAGAATTGACATGTTGAGATGATCAAACTGGTGGTGTTTACATAAGGGATGTTTTCTGGTTTTTATGCAATCTTTGCAGCGACATCGGAAAGGGTTCCAATGGACTGGAGGCACACAGTCATCGTTCCCTTGTATAAAGGCAATAGTTCGCGTGTGGACCGTGCGCCCAATAGAGACATCAGTTTGATCAGCTTAGCAGCAAGCTGTACAGGAAAATAATTGAAAGTAGAATGAGGGAATAATCCGTTGGAATGCTGTCGGATCCAGATTTCTCACTCCGCAATATCGTGGAGAAGTATCTGGCTCTGGGCCGGAAGGTTTTCAGAGGTTTTGTGGATCTTGAGAAAGAATTTCACAGATTTGTGGAATATATTGCCGAGATATGGGATTGAAGATTGACGTAATCAACTCCATGAAGATTTTACAGCATGCGTGCGGGTGGATAGCCCTGGTTTGGCATCAATCTTGGTGTCGAGCATCTCGACAACTATCTTCCATGGATGTGGGATTGCCCCGCGGCAAGATAAATCAGGTAATCTGCAATGGTCACTTAAGAAATATGATCGTATGAAGAAAGGCTTAGAACTTAATGCGAAGAGAACAAAGATAATGGTTTTTGAAAGTTTTTTTTTATGTTCTTTATGAAATTGAAAACCGTTATATAACAACATTAAACGTCATCCTTGCAATTGCACTTAACGTAACTAGCTATCCCGGTCGTTTTAAGTTTAATATCAGAAGCTGCAATAATTATGGTAGCTAATAGTAAAAAAACTTTTGAAAAAAGATTTTGCATTGTACGATTATAAGAATGTAAGTTACTGCACAACAAACTTGCGATGTTTTTACATAAAGCTTGACATATAACTTTAAAATATACTATAATGATTGCCAAATGATGGATCTAAATATTTTTAACAAATATTTAATATTTTGTTAAGCATGTGTGAAAATGACAATGATTACCTTAAGTTACCTTAAAACACAACGTATTTGCATACGAGAAGAACTTAAATGTCAAGTGACTTCATCGCATTATCATAGCCATACATACAAACCTGCTCCGCGATGTGCCACTCCCAACCAAATAATGCAGCAATACCGAAATTTGCCTGAAGACATTTAGCTGAGTAAAGGAGCCTACGAAAAGATTTACATAATATACACGAGAGAAATCCTTTGTTGTCTGAATACCTATTCAAAGATACGTCTATTAAATTGCATAATCATTTAGTCGTTCGATAGGGTACACAATGTAGGCGGCTATATCAGATATTTGATACAACAACGCAATTGTGTCACATGTTGTGACCGGCAGTTAAAAATAATTCATGTAACAAATACTGTGCCATCCTGGTCAACAACAAAACAAACTTAATGACAATATATTAGACGAAGACATCTACAAGTTTTGTAATTCTAGTGGTATTTGATCGCGGCAAGCACAGAAGATATATTTTTCGAATTATCAAATACACAACGGGTGTCTTGCCTGTAATTGTTTCTGAAAGAGTAGCCAAAAAGTTGTTCGTGGTCCGTGCGAAAATAAAAAGGGATAATATTTCTTTGAAGCAGTGCACCAGTGGTAGTTATTAAGCTAGAAAACTAGAAAAGTTATTATGTTTTAAGAAGTTTGACTGCCGCCTAACTTTTTGGTAGTTGAAAAGGGAGGGCAAGCAGTGGCGTTAGTGGCGATGACACACCCTTAATTTCTAATATAAATTATCCTTCTATAACAAAAGTCATATTTATCAGTTCAAGTTAGACGTAAGTCCAGACGGATGTAGTTCAAAAATTCAAAATTCAAAATTCAATATCGTTTATTCAGTCTAGGCTGTTACAAGCACTTGTGAATGTCGAAAAGCTACGCCATCGGTTTGCAAATCTACGGCGGGAGACCTTGTACTGAGAAGAACCGGCAAGAAACTCAGCAAGGGCTGTTTTTTTCTCCCTGTATTGTATACAGAGTCGTCAAATTGAAAAATGACTTCAATATGAGGTAACTCATAAAGTCACTTTCCATTACAAATGCTAATATAATAAAAATTATGACTATATAAAAAACTGGTTTAACAAAGTTTAGGAATGCCGTGTCCTGCTGTTTAGGCAAAAAAAATGAACGATTAAAATTTAGTAAAACGGTTAATACTATCCAATGAAGCAAGAGCAGACTCATCTCCGCTGGCAGCACCCGTTCACGAGTATGACGCATGAACCAGCCATCGCTTCGCTCAACCATTTCTTAGGGAACGCAACGACCCGCCGAAGAGATTTTTAAGAGAGCATGACTACTCATAACCACACTTGGATACTATGTTACAAAGATAGAAAAAAAATGGGTGCGTGTACTTATGTAGGCGCGTGAGAAGTTATCCTTCTTTCGCATCGTTTAAAATTAGTTTTTAATTGCATGCAAATAATTAATTACAATAAATTAATAAAAAGTCTGGAAAAGGACACAGTCAATAAAGTTCAGTTTTAATTTGAAAAAATAAATAAATAATCAAAATATTCAATTAAAATCGCTACTGAATATAATTTATTAGAACATATGTGATTTGCACTTGTATGAAACTCAAACACGTATTCCGAATATACAAACTAGAAACATGTGGATAAATATTATAAATATGAATCCCTATAACTGTTACTTTATTACAAAAAATAAAGATAATCGTTATTGAATAAGTTTCATTAAAGCGTTTAAATGAAAACAAAAAAAGGAAGGGAATTATATTTTGTAACGAAAAATGAGAAATATGAGCGAAAGTTTGCGATATTTATGTTTTCTTTCACTACTACTTTAGCCTGGTATAATGTATTCAATATTACCATTTTATACGATATATTAGAGAGTTTAGTTTACGTTATTGATACTTCTTAAAAACCTTGATGCATAACTTGACCTACACACTGCTTTAGCTTCTCAAGTACAAACTCGACGAATTTTGAGTTCAGTGAACTTGCTCTAGAAATGAATACCTGATTAGATTACGTAGGAATTCAATCCATAGCTAAGTTGCTCATGCTAATAAACAGATTTAAGTATTTGGGTGAAGGTCAATATAAAGCTTTAATTATCAAATCAAAATTATCATATCAATTTTGTTATTATATCCTACAAAAACTTAACGATGATTAGATCTGTCGAGAATATTTAAGCTCGTTTGTTGTTTGTCGTAACTGTAGTATTAGGAAATATCAGATTTGGTCATCTGTTGGTATACCATTTTCAATTTATTCAACAATAGTTTGAATCAAATCGCTATGGCAAGGGAGAACAAGTAAATAATAAATAACGAACATTGTGTGACGCTTTTTTGCCAGATCAGCAATTTGTGACGTGGGGTGGGGATAATGAGTGAAACAAAATTTTTAGGTATTTTACTGGATGATAATTGCACTTGGAAGCAACACGTTGATCTAA